ATGACACGCAGAGTCGCATAAATAAATGAGCACAGTACACCACGATCGACATCATGGCTTAGCATGGCCGCGTTAGTTTAATATTCATAAAGTTTAGATTAAGTTTGGGGTACTTAACTTCTTCTGTTCAATTATTTATTTTGCAATTAGGCTAAAACGATGTTTTAATATTAGGTCGCCAACAGCCAACCAAAAACCTTTTTGACAGTCATGTGACTGATGTGTTTTTACTCGAACGAATGTGAGCTAAGTTCACTGTTTACAAAATGGCTGACAGTTGATACCTGTGAATACGATGGGATGGTTCTAACGAAGGAAAACAGTGTTCGCCAATTCTCTTTAACTTTAGGTTTTATTTTAGGGATTCTGTGCACTATTTTTTCAGCTAGACTTGAACATTGGTGCACCATTTTGTTCAGCTATACTTGAACATTGGTGCACTATTTTGTTCAGCTATACTTGAACATTGGTGAACTATTTTGTTCAGCTATACTTGAACATTGGTGCACTATTTTGTTCAGGTATACTTGAACATTTGTGCATAATTTTGCTCAGCTAGACGAATATTGGTGCATGATTTTGTTTAGCTAGAATTGAACATTGTTGCACAATTTTGTTAAGCAAGACTCTAACATTGGTGCACTATTTTGTTAAGCAAAACTCTAACATTGGTGCACTATTTTGTTCAGCTACACCTGAACATTGGTGCACCATTTCGTATATCTAGACTTTAATATTGGTGTACCGTTTTGTACAGAAATTTCGGTGCGCGGACCTTTGACCACAGGTGCTTTGACCATAGGGGGTTTGACCATATTGGGTTTGACCACAGCGGAGCTTTGACCATAGGGGCTTTGACCATAGGGGGTTTGACCACAGCGGGCCTTTGACCATAGCGGTGCTTTGACCATAGGTGGTTTGATCATAGGGGGTTTGACCATAGGGGGTTTGACCACAGGTGTTTTCTCAGCAGAGGGTCTTTGATCACAGGTGGTCTATCAACGGGTGTTTGATCACAAGCGCTGTGTCCGGCTTTGATCATAGGTGTGATACAATTAATACGATTTTATACATGTTTCCTAAGAGTACGTTAATAGAAATTAACATGTATTTAAGAAAGCCAAGAACTATATTTTAGTATCCACATAAAGGCTGGCGCTAGACCTCATAGATTTACTTTAAATATAAATGAAACACAAATAAGGCGACATATAACAAGTTTCACAAATAAATAATGTAGAATTACTTGAAAATACATATCATATATAAAGGATAAAAAATGATACAAAACTTGCCAACAATATAGTCAAAGATGTAATACATAAATGGTTAACTAAATGACAGATGTGCTATAGCACGCAAATATGTCAGTACATCTGTTTGACCATATTATTACATCATGTCGAAATTTAAAATATAATTTAGCAACTTTTAAAAAAAAATCCTTACCATATATGGACAGCATTGGACAAACCACCAGAGATCAAAGACCCTAAGTGGACAAAACACCTGAGATCAAAGACCCTATGTGGACAAAACACCTATGATCAAAGCCGGACACAGCGCTTGTGATCAAACACCAGTTGATAGACCAGTGATCAAAGACCCTCTGCTGAGAAAACACCTGTGGTCAAACCCCCTATGGTCAAACCCCCTATGATCAAACCCCCTATGATCAAACCCCCTATGGTCAAAGCACCGCTATGGTCAAAGCCCCGCTGTGGTCAAACCCCCTATGGTCAAAGCCCCTATGGTCAAAGCTCCGCTGTGGTCAAACCCCCTATGGTCAAACCCCCTATGGTCAAAGCACCTGTGGTCAAAGGTCCTAGGACCGAAATTTCCTAGCTATCTCCCGGTCTATGCTTACATTATAGATCGTCCCCAGAATATCAAAGCACTTTCAATATAGCAGTCTTACACATTTCAAAGCCCCTCGTATACAAACTGTAAAGATAAACATGAAAGCCCATTTAACGCGTGGCCTAACGATAAATATTAAGCCTTTGTAATACGTAAAAAGAGACGCAAGTTTAAAAACGAAAACTTCAAAAACATGCTCAAAAATGTTTTAAAGGGCCAAAACATAAATAGCACAACAGAAAAATAACACAACAGAAAAATAAAAAAAACAACACCAAAGCACATCAAATAGACATCATAAAGACATTTAAGAAAGCACAAAACAGAGACATCATAAAGACAACAAACGAAGCACACCGTTCAAATTCCATTCGCTACATTGGAATGATACAAAACATGTATTCATCATTTCGAAGTTTTATTTAAAAATTGTAAACACATCAGAACGTACGGGTGTCGTTTTTTTATATATAACATGCACAAGTCATTGTTGTATGTATGTAGTAGGGCAAACAATGGGCTATATAGCCTTATGTATAAAATCCACTGTGTTTGCTCTCTAAATTATCTCTGTGTTCGCCCTAAAAACAGCCCTTTCCCATCTAAAACTGCCTTTGTAGCTATATTAAAACTGCATTATTTGCCCTATAAAACATCACCTTATTAGCCCTATTGAACCACATTGTTAGCCCTATAAGAAAACCCCATTAGCCCTATAAAACCCCGTTAGCCCTATAAAACCCCGTTAGCCCTATAAAACAGCACCTTGTTAGTCCTGTAAGAGAACCCAATTAGCCCTATAAAACAGCACCTTGTTAGCCCTATAAGAGAAACCCATTAGCCCTATAAAACAGCACCTTGTTAGTCCTGTAAGAGAACCCAATTAGCCCTATAAAACAGCACCTTGTTAGCGCTATAAAACAGCACCTTGTTGACCCTATAAAACAGCACCTCGTTAGCCCTATAAGAGAAACCCATTAGCCCTATAAAACAGCACCTCGTTAGCCCTATAAGAGAAACCCATTAGCCCTATAAAACAGCACCTCGTTAGCCCTATAAGAGAAACCCATTAGTCCTATAAAACAGCACCTTGTTAACCCTATAAAACAGCACCTCGTTAGCCCTATAAGAGAACCCCAATAGCCCCAAATACCCACAAGCGCGTGACTGCTGGGTACAATAAACCATCAGATTTGTCCAAGTCACCAGGTCATGTTGTCAGTCACGTCACGTGATACACATGTAGACTTTCTCTCCCTCCTTTCTCTCCCTCCTTCCTCCTTTCTCTCCCGCACTCCTTCTCTTTCTCTCCACGAGAAAAAAACAGTCAATGTAGCACCGACAAAAAGGCCCTAACTCAAGGCAAAATGACTTCCAATATGATGCTCATTTTATAAAACAGGACAACATATATTGGAGTTATAATTCAGTGCTTTAAAGCAACAATCTCTAACATCTATTGCCCGTTTATATCTTCAAATACACAATTAATTTTATACTCATAAATAACTGTATCCCTGTTTAGTATTCTTTGACTTTTTTTCGGTGACTTTTTTTAATGGAATATCGCATTTCGTAATCTCTTTGTTTATTAGCCGGTCGCGTCTTTTTGTAAAATTCCCTGGCTAAATCCCTTAGATCATAGGATTGACTTACATTTTAAATAATTGGGGGGGGGGGGGAGGTAGACAGTGTTAGACACTTCGCTAGTGATCCATTGCTAATGTGGGGGGGGGGGGGGGAAGGGGAGGGGAGGGGGTAGGATTTAGTGACAATCAATAACTTACATTCAGACTAGGTTTTAATGAAATAAGAGACAGTGTAAGGGGCTGGTGTAAACATACAATGTAAGGGAACTATGTAATCATATAATGTAATGGGACTAGGTAATCATGCAATATAAGGGGACTATGTAATCATGCAATGTAAGGGAACTATGTAATCATATAATGTAAAGGGACTAGGTAATCATGCAATATAAGGGGACTATGTAATCATGCAATGTAAGGGAACTATGTAATCATATAATGTAAAGGGACTATGTAATCATGCAATGTAAGGGGTTAGTGTAATCAGATAACGTAAAGGTTATATGTAATCATACAATGTAAGGGGACTATGTAATCAGAAAATGTAAGGAGGTTTGGTTAGTGGAGAAGATCGGCTCCTAGCTGGAGTGCCAACTTCTTGAGTAAGATAACAGATATGATACATTTCTACACTAAAGCATATCTTGAGTAAGATAACAGATATGATACATTTCTACGCTAAAGCATATCTTGAGTAAGATCTACGCTAAAACATATCTTGAGTAAGATCTACGCTAAAACATATCTTGAGTAAGATAAGATATGATACAGTTCTACGCTAAAACATATCTTGAGTAAGAATTACGCTAAAACATATCTTTAGTAAGAACTACGCTAAAACATATTTTTAGTAAGAACTACGCTAAAACATATTTTGAGTAAGAACTACGCTAAAAAATATCTTTAGTAAAAACTACGCTAAAACATATCTTGAGTAAGATAAAAGATATGATAAACTTCTACGCTAAAACAAATCTTGAGTAAGATCTACGCTAAAACATATCTTTAGTAAGAACTACGCTAAAACATATCTTGAGTAAGATAAAAGATATGATACAGTTCTACGCTAAAAAATATCTTGAGTAAGATCTACGCTAAAACATATCGAACACTTAAATACCACCCAACCACTTCATGCGACCACGCCGAGGCAGCTGCCAATAGACCTAAATGTCAACAAGCCTGATGTAAACAGGAGCCAGATCCAAGTCCCTCCACACATCAACCATCAACCGTCGCCACAACATCTGAACGAGCCATCAATGTTCGCTGATTAGCCGGTATCGACGTTAAGACGGCGATTAGCCTTTAGGTGTATGGCTAACCCACGGTGATGTGTAATAAAGATAACAGTTGTGATGTTGACATCGTTGATGAACGGAAGAATTATGACGGTAGTGAAAGTTAATAAATGCTGCAGCGAGTTACAGATGAGAAGGAAGAGAAAAACAGTTTCATCTGTCGTTTACGGTAATATTAATAAGATAGGCATAAGGATTATGGTAAGGATAAGGATATTTGGTTTTAGGTATGATGATTGTAATATTGCAGGATAAGCGTCAAAAAGTGGATATATTCCACGAGATTCTCAAACGTTTCTCAAACGTCAAAATCAAAGAAGCAATAAAAGTACAGAAAAGATTCCTCTTTAAACCAAACGATCCATTGTGTAGATGAAGTAGAGTTCTTATGTTTCTTGACCTGAGTTTATGAAGGAATAGTGTGGACAGCACTATGCACAACCGCTTTCGCTGTCCCCAACGTGAGTTAGGTACCCATCAGAGCTGGGTGGACTCCGAGACATTACCCTGACTTGAACCGGGATTCGAACTCGAGACTTTCAGGTTAGCAGTCTAGCGCTATACCGCTAGGCCACGCCGTCCCAAAAATACCAGTAGCGACATCTCAAAATCTAGAGGTTATAAGGGTTTGGATGCATTCAAACAATTGTATATTAAATAATGCTAAATAAATAAATAAGGACATTAAGATTTTGGAAGAATCCAGCAATATATGAATTATACTTTTAAAAAACGGGAAATTCAAAACGTTGATAGAATCAAAAATACGTTAACCATACCCTAAAAACCTTAAAAATTGTAGAAGTATCCAATATATGAGAATCTCCCTCTAGAAATCAGGACATTTAAAATTGTACATGTACCCAAAATACGTGAATCATATTCTAAAAACATGACCTTTAAAATTTTACAGGTACCCAAAATACCTGAATCTTATTCTAAAAACAGGACCTCTAAAACTGTGGAAGTATCCCTAATACTTGATGCGCGGACTTTTGACCACAGGTGCTTTGACCATAGGGGGTTTGACCATAGGGGCTTTGACCACAGCGGAGCTTTGACCATAGGGGCTTTGACCATAGGTGGTTTGACCACAGCGGGCCTTTGACCATAGCGGTGCTTTGACCATAGGTGGTTTGATCATAGGGTGTTTGACCATAGGGGGTTTGACCACATGTGTTTTCTCAGCAGAGGGTCTTTGATCACAGGTGGTCTATCAACGGGTGTTTGATCACAAGCGCTGTATCCAGCTTTGGTCATAGGTGTGATACAATTAACACGATTTTATACATGTTTCCTGAGAGTACGTTAATAGAAATTAACATGTATTTAAAAAAGCCAAGAATTATATTTTAGTCTCCACATAAAGGCTGGCGCTAGACCTCATAGATTTATTTTAAATATAAATGAAACACAAATAATGCGACATATAACAAGTTTCACAAATAAATAATGTAGAAGTACTTGAAAATACATATCATATATAAAGGATAAAAAATGATACAAAACTTGCCAACAAGATGTAATACATAAAATGGTTAACTAAATGACAGATGTGCTATAGCACGCAAATATGTCAGTACATCTGTTTGACCATATTATTACATCATGTCGAAATTTAAAATATAATTTAGCAACTTTTAAAATAAATCCTTACCATATATGGACAGCATTGGACAAACCACCTGAGATCAAAGACCCTATGTGGACAAAACACCTATGATCAAAGCCGGACACAGCGCTTGTGATCAAACACCCGTTGATAGACCACCTATGATCAAAGACCCTCTGCTGAGAAAACACCTGTGGTCAAACCCCCTATGGTCAAACCCCCTATGATCAAAGCCCCTATGGTCAAAGCACCGCTATGGTCAAAGCCCCGCTGTGGTCAAACCCCCTATGGTCAAAGCCCCTATGGTCAAAGCTCCGCTGTGGTCAAACCCCCTATGGTCAAACCCCCTATGGTCAAAGCACCTGTGGTCAAAGGTCCTAGGACCTAATACTTGAATCCCCCTCTAAAATCAGAAACTTCAATGTTTTCAAAGCACACCCAGAACCCATCTGCACCCAGACAGTCGCTACAAAAAAAAACGAGGTTTAATGGGAGAGGAGGAGACACCAATGTGTTCATTAACAGGATCTAGTTATAGCTTTGATACCTTATCCACTGAAATATATGACAAAGATGCACTTATGGTTACATGTTTTACTTGAAACTTCAAAGTATTAAAAAAAAACTTAAAGCAACCTAAAAAAAAACCCTAGAATATTTAAAGTATAAAAGTCTTAGAGGTATTTGTACCACTTTTACAACATGGAACTTCAAAGTTTAAAGTATTCCAGAAAACTGACTCACAAAACATTTTAGTGGCCCGGTGAGAGGGCAGGGGGGAGGGGGGGGGGGGACAAAAAAAGCCCAAACACTCGTAAACGAGTTCAATATTCTATGTTCTACATTCCATGTTCCATGTTCCATGTTTCATGTTCAATGGTCCTTGTCCAATGTTCCGTATTACACGCTCCCTATACCTGGTTCCATGCTCTATGTTCCATGTTCCTTGATTCGTGTTCCCTGTATAACATGGTTCATGTCATACGTGCCTTCTTTCTTATTCAACGTTCCTTGTTCTAAATTCTACGTTTCATGTTTCATATTCCCTGTTCCAAATTCTTCATTTCAAAATTCCATTTTTCCTGTTCCATATTCTACGTTTCATGTTCCATGTTCCCTGTTCCATATTCTACGTTTCATGTTCCATGTTCCCTGTTCCATACTCTACATTTCATGTTCACGTCACAAGCCTGCACTTTCCAGCAATGGCTCTAACCCCCCCCCCCCCCCCACCCACCTTTCCCCGCCCTAAAGACCAGCACAGCCTTTGGCACTGCTAAAGATCAGCCATGATAGGGGAGTCGGCCCATATTATGATCTGCTTCTATCCTGATCACTCAACATTTTAATGATAGATGGGCGACGACACAGCAGAATATCAACTGACACGATCAAGGAAGTAGCTTTATTTCTGGAAAGTTTATTGCAAATTTAAAAACAAAAATAAAAGCCTTTAATAAATAAATCAAAAGAAAGAATTAACAGTTTTATAAACTTTAAAAAAAATAAACAGTGAAAATAATAAGTTCAAGGAATCGATTTTGTTTTAATGCAAGACTGCGTGGCTTCAGTTTAGCATTGGGAGAAAATATATGAGTCTAGAGAAGTACACCATCTCCTGGGTGCCTACCATGACCTTAGTTCAGGGGTCTCCAAACTACGGCTCGCAAGGTCCTCTCATCCGGCCCGCGGAGATCTTTTTGTCTACGGAAAAACAATGTTCATCAAGGACCTCCAGCTGCAATTTCAGTACCGTTTTTCTGACTTGGATTTAAGGGCAGAAGAAGTGAGACTGTTTCGAAACCTATTTGAAGCAAATGTGACCAGTTGCCGAGATGAACTACAGCTGGAGGTCACTGAATTGCAAGCAAAAACAAAATGACCCCCCCCCCCTTAGAGACAAGTTCAAAGAAGGGCGGGTGGTTTTTTTTAATGTTTAAATAATTTTTTGCCCAAGGAATACTTTCCAAATCTTAAAACTTCTGCATTAAAGTACCTTACACATTTTGGAACAACATATCTGTGTGAACCAACATTTTCAAGAATGAAATACGTGAAGTGTTTCTTTCAGATTTTTTTCTCCGAGGAGGGGTTATGGGACACTTTTATATATTTCAATATAAATTATATTTCGTGTTAAGGGGGAGGGGATGGGGGAGCGGTAGACATTTTTCGGGAAGGGGGAGGGGGGCTACGCTACCCCGAAGAGATGTCTGGAAGAAACTCTGGTCCCCGAACTGAGATTTGATATTTAATGCGGCCCTCGGGCTGAAAAGTTTGGAGACCCCTGCCTTAGATTAACAGATCCTTGGTTTCCAATACATCGTGATCTCTCTCTTGACATTTGCCAGTGTAGGATTGGTAAGTATTACGGTAGGTACCAGCATTGGCTGAATAAGCTGCCGAAAAGAAACCAGAGCTAGTATTCATTAAAATCGCTTAATGAAGCTCTGCTTCTATTTTATTTCGGAGTTATCTCTCGTAAATGGGTTGCTGTCCTTGGCTAACGAGCTTGGTCAAGAGCTAAATAAACAAATAATGAAAAAAAAGACACAATAATGTATACAACGTAGTGATCAGTGCAACTTTGTGGTGTATGTTAATGAGAACTTTTTCTGAATAATTTAATACAGTAGAAATTTCACCGATAGCCCCACATCATCCTTGGGAATGCATACGAAGCGTTTCACGACAATTACAAACTTCGCATTTGGAGAGAAAAAGATATACACTTTTTTAAGTGCGCCATAAGAGTTCCAGTCATAAAACAGACCAGGTGCCGCCTGGTTGAAGTTCTGGAATATTCGACAAACCACGGGGTAACCTACGTAAGATATAAGCAGGCCAGATGATCTCCAGACTAGCCCATCTGTAGATGCTAGACACGCCTCTATAATAGACACGCCCCTTTCAAGATGCTAGACACGCCTCTATAATAGACACGCCCCTAAGTAAGATATAGGCAGGCCAGATGATCTCCAGACACGCCCATCTGTAGATGCTAGACACGCCTCTATAATAGACACGCCCCTTTCAAGATGCTAGACACGCCTCTATAATAGACACGCCCCTAAGTAAGATATAGGCAGGCCAGATGATCTCCAGACACGCCCATCTGTAGATGCTAGACACGCCTCTATAATAGACACGCCCCTTTCAAGATGCTAGACACGCCTCTATAATAGACACGCCCCTAAGTAAGATATAGGCAGGCCAGATGATCTCCAGACACGCCCATCTGTAGATGCTAGACACGCCTCTATAATAGACACGCCCCTTTCAAGATGCTAGACACGCCTCTATAATAGACACGCCCCTAAGTAAGATATAGGCAGGCCAGATGATCTCCAGACACGCCCATCTGTAGATGCTAGACACGCCTCTATAATAGACACGCCCCTTTCAAGATGCTAGACACGCCCCTATAATAGACACGCCCCTAAGTAAGATATAGGCAGGCCAGATGATCTCCAGACACGCCCATCTGTAGATGCTAGACACGCCTCTATAATAGACACGCCCCTTTCAAGATGCTAGACACGCCTCTATAATAGACACGCCCCTAAGTAAGATATAGGCAGGCCACATGATCTCCAGACTAGCCCATCTGTAGATGCTAGACACGCCTGTATAATAGACACGCCCCTTTCAAGATGCTAGACACGCCTCTTTGTTGATGCTAGACACGCCCCTATTTAGAGCCTAAACATACCACTTTTTAGATGCTAGACACTCTCCTGTATGGATGTACAGAGACACTTCTA